TGTGTGTGTGTGTGTGTGTGTGTGTGTGTGTGTGTGTGTGTGTGTGTTACATGTGTATGCATGTGTTTGCATGTGTGGGGTCCAGAGGTCGGTCCTGGGTATCTTTCGCAATCATCAATTGCTTTTCACCTTATTTTTAAGACAGGGCTTCTCGCTGAGCCTGGAGCTCACCCATTCAGCTCCACCCGCTGTCTTCCGAGGCCCCAGGGATCTTTGCCTCGCCCCCCCCCCCCCCCGCCCGGGGGATTACACGTGTGTGCTGCTGCTTCTCGGCTTTTCACATGGGTGCTGGGACTCCGGACTTAGGTCTTTACACTTGCATGGCCCTACTTTGCCGACACAGCCGTGTTCCCAGACCTTTAAACGGCGGCTTTTGAATGGCGGGTCTCCGGTAAACGTCTCAGGCAGTCTAAAAAGTGACACGGCAGTCTCGACAAAAGTCTTTCTGAGGAGAGAACCACAGCAAGCCAGAGCTGGAAGTCGGCTTGTAGCTGCCCGGGTGCCGGGTAGAAGCACTGTTAGACACGAAGAACCTTCTCATCTGATGAAAAGAAGCAACAAAGCGAAAGTCTCTGCGCAGTGGGAAGACGACAGATTTGTTAGGTCCTAGTGTTTCGCTGTGAGTTCTGAGCAACAGAAACAGGAAGGAAGTGGCTCTGTGCGCCTCTGGCTTCTTAGGGAACCTCAAGATGGGCCACAGGGTAAGCCCAGCCTTCTCCCTGCCTCACGTTCTCCTCTCGGAATCTTGAGCCACACTGGCTTTTTCTTAAAAGAAGATTTCCAGCACCCATTGGTGAAAAATGAACCCCACTCCAACAGAAGGTTCTGGGTGGCCGGGGCCTATCTGAGCCCGTCGGAGAGCACCTGAAGCACAAAAGGGAACAAACTCTGCAGGAACCCAGTCACTGAGAGCAGCCAGTGAAAGGATTGGGAGTGTTTTCATATGAGCAGTGATAACAGACGAGAAGGGCAAGAAGTGATACAGAGATAGAGAGACATGGTAGGGAGAGGAGGAGGGGAAGGAGGGGGAGAGGAGGGAGGAGAAGATAGAGATCTTTCCTCATCTGTTTTGACAACTGAGCTATTTTTGTTCATATATATTTTGTATTTGTGGCTTCCTGCAGAAAAGATGTCAGATGACTATGATGAAATAGTGCGGTGCTCTACGTGGCATATGTGTGTGTGTGTGTGTGTGTGTGTGTGTGTGCTCTATATGGTATATGTGTGTGTGTATGTGTATACATGTATGTATGTATGTTTGTACATGTGAGTATGTGTGTACATGGGTGTATATGTGTGTGTACATGTGTTTGTATGTGTGTATATGTATGTGTGTGTTCCTGTGTGTGTGTGTGAGAGAGACTGTTAATAACTGTCATAGCTCTATCATGTCATGCAGCTGTGTCTGTGTTTGAGCTTTAATTCTTCGGCTCTGCTGAAGTGACATTCCTACTTCTCCTGATTCAGCAGTAAGTACTTAGAATTATAAGGAGCAGGATTAGCTCACAAACAAAACAGCCCATCCCTGTCTAATAACAGAGCTTAGAGATAATAAGAGCAAGGCACTCTGGGAAGGCCACGCCCCTCCAGAAGTCTTAGGACATCTAAATTGGGAGTTGGTGATCTTGTAAACAAATTCAAATTACCTTCCAGTGAAACCCCAAACTACTTGTTGGAGATGGTTTTTGGCTAGAAGATGTGAATCCAGATCAAAATCAAAAGCCACATGAATACTAAAATAGCCAAAACAGAGACACAGTCATTACAGGAAACTCACGAAGCTTCAAAGGAGGTTTAAAAAAGAAAAAGCTGCAGCCAGAGGAGCTGGTGGCATTGCCCGTCTGTACTGGAAATGTCGACATCCTCTAGAGGGAAAGAGGAAGGAGTTAGAGGTGCCGGACAAGCAGCTGGACAATGACAAAACAGGAAACAGGACTGCTGATGACAGCGAACTACAAACCAGGAAGAGGGAAGCATCAAAGCCACGGGCCACAGAAGACAGTAGGCTGGACAAAGGGGAAGCAGTAGGGGCTTAGACTCAGCCACAGATCACATGCATCCTCTAGTGGGCAGCTAGGTCTCCATTTTTTCCTGTTGAAATGTCACAGAAAGGGGCTTAGTCCTGCTGTGATCACTCCAGGGATCACGAATTGTATAGCGCATGGGTTCAAACGCTGCTTTAAAGGGCAGCCATCCAAGCGTGAGAGAATACTCTTTTTGGTATCTCAACACGGTGCTGGTGAGTGGTTACAGGTAACATTTAGTGTATCCATTCCCAGTACTTTGTGGAAAATATAATTTAATCCCAAGGTTAAAGGGCCAAGACAGAATGGTTGTAAGAAATGGATTTAGCAGTCTTCCTCCAGAGCACATGCTCTAAGTTCACCACTTCATCTGGCCTAAGAAGCCCCAAAGAGCTGTGAGATAGATGTATGGTGTTCTGAGCAGTCTTCCAGCTCATTTCTACTCACATCTGCTCCACTCACCAGAACCCCTGTCACCTTTCCTCGACAACCTTTGCAGGGGAGAGATAGCAACTAAATGCTCAGAATTAAGGATCAACCCAAGAATTGGAAAGCCATCCAAGGAACACAGAGTGAAGCAGGTGAGAAGTAACAGATGACCCCCTAAGGAACAGTTTTACTAAACATCTCAGAAAGTCAGAACTGAAATCCTTCGACTAGCTAAAGGGTGACCAACAGGCTATTATTTAAGAGTATAGCAAAGTTTTGGGGGAAACCACCTTACCACTAATCAAAGACAACTATTACTGCTTTTATTAACAGCTTGGTATAGTCAAGTGATATCTTTCATTCACTGTGATAAATATTATGGCCAAAAGCAACTTGGGGGAGAGAGTTTATTTGGCTTACTCTTCCGCATTGCAGTCCATTATTGAGAGAAGTCAGGGTAGGAATTGGGAGGCACAGGTTGAAGCAGAGCCCACGGAGGAACACTGCTCGCTGGCTGGCTCTATGTGCTTTCTCATACAACTCAGGGCCTCCAGCCCATGGTTGTCACTGCCCAAAGTGTCCTGAGGCACTCCCCATCAACCATGAATCAAGAGAAGGCCTCACAGATTTCCCTACAGGTAGATCTGATGAATCATGTTCTCATCTGAGGCCCCCTCCTTCTGGATGACTCTGCATCAAGCTGAACAAACAACAAAACAAAAGTTACCCAGCACAAGTGATAGAAGGTCACATTACACGTGTCAAATTTCTCTAAATCTTATTTTGCCCAGGAATTATACAGAGGGTTTATTCTGAATTGAACATAAGTTTGTGTCACTAAGATGTAGGTTCTTCTTTTTTTAATCTGGATGTCACACCAAGTACTCTGCCACGGAGCTGGCCTTTGTTTTTCTTATTTGCCCAACATCTTGGTGCTGTGGCATCCAGGACCTATTTGGAGGCTCCTCAGCTCTTTCATAACTTCGCTGTCTAGCCCTGACCCTTGGGAACAGTAGCTCAGAGTGACTTAGTATCTGAAGATGCCAAATTCCCAATGCAGAGAAAAGCCTACAAGTGTTCATGGATAAGATCTAGTTAAGGTACGAAGGAGCACATCGTGACGTAAGAGATAAACTTTAATGCACATTGGCCACAAGGGAGGGACATTCCTTTTTATTTTATTTTTTTTAGGAAAATCCAGAAATGCCTTAATAGCTTTATGCTATTGTTCATGCCAAAATGCCTTCTGAAACAAGATCGTTGAGGGCTGAGCATCTGTCAGCTTAGTCCCATGTAAAAACAAGGTGTCTAGATGGCTATCGTTGGATTTGAATTACACTAATTCAGGTTCAGATACACTTGAACATATGTTACATTTGAACTATTAGGGTTCAGATATACTGACACACTCTTAGGTTATACTGCACACGATGCTACATTTTAGAGAATAAAATGATATCAATACTTAAAATAGCAAACAAAAACTCACCCCGCATATATTTTTCTATTAAGTCAGATACTATTATATGCTATTATAATGGTAATATTTTTATTTTTGTTCAGTGCTTGGAGTTGAACCCAGGCGCCCAGCGTATGATTACCATGTACCCTACCACTGAGCCACACCCAGGCCACACGTGCCTATTTACATAGTACACACTCTCTCTGAGGGAGGGTGCGCCGTTCCAAGAGCTACTGCAATAACAGGCCAATTCATGGAGTAGACAGAGAACTCCTGTTTTACCTCCTATTTCCCAAAATCAACTTCTTATATTATCCTTGGACAGAGGACATACCAGATAGTAAACTGGTAAAAACAGGCACTTTTTCTGTTTTTAGGCAAAACACAGAGAAGTGACTCCAGCTCACAGCTTCTTCTTCTTCTTCTTTTTTTTTTTCTCCTTTTGTTTTTTTTTTTTTTTTTTTTGTTTTAATTTTTAAAAGACAGAGTCTCTCCATGTAGCCCTGGAAATTGCTATGTAGACCAGACTGTCCTGGAGCTCACAGAGATCCTCCAGCCTCTATCTCCCAAATGCTGGGATTAATGCATGCACCACCACACCTGCCTTTACCAGATTCTTAAAAGTCAAAGGAACAGCTAAAATATTCAAAAGAAAAATGAAATAATTGCTCTTGAGGACATTCTGCCCATTAATTTGCCTCTCTGTTTTCCTGAACGTTTTGGACAGAAGGGGATCCTAGCTCCCTTCCCATCCACTCTCTTCCCCATCTCTAACAAAACTCCCAAGTGAAGCTGGGCACAGTGTCAAGATGTGGTGAGATAATGGGTGGGGTGTGATTGGGCCCCAAAGGCCATCCCAGGAGTGGCTCATGTTGTTGGATTGTCTCTCTCCAGCTTCTTTCTGTCTGAGAAAACAAACAAACCCCAAACACAAACTTCTTGCTTCTAACTCCGGAGACCTGTAGTTTACATTTTCTTTTAAAGTGCAACACAACTCTGTCCCAAGTCCCACCCCTGGGGGGTGTAAGGGATTTCAGAGTCCAAACACCCAAGACAGCTGGAAGTCAGGAGCTTAGCTGGAAGCAACAGGCTTAGTTGTTATCTTTCAGTTCTCTCAAAAACTCTGAAGATGTTTGTTTAATCTTCTATTTTTAGCTTTGAGACAGTTGATTTTTGTTAAAACAGACAAAAGTAGGAAAAAAAAAAAGACCCAAGATTTCTTCAGTTCCCAGATTCTGTCATTCTGTCTATCTCTTCCTCTTTTTCTCCGTCTTCCCCCTCTCTCTCTACACACAGACCCCCCCCCACACACACACACAGACAGAGAAAGAGAGAAAAAGATAGAGATAGAGAGAGGCCTCCCTTTTCCTTAAGTAATATTCAACAATGGTATATCTTTCTGCTCAGAATATCTACTTTTTCACATATCCGTTTTCTGCTTTGAGTTTACAATGTTCAATCTTGTTTGATTCTCCTGATATGTTCATGAAGTAAGCAAGAAAGTATAAGTATTTCCATTTCTTCTAAGTAGAAACTGGGTTTCCATCCTCATTACATCACTTTGAGGTATATGGGATTATTATTATCCCTAATGCACATAAATGGGAATCGTGGAATCATCTGGTCCAATGCTTTGAATATAAGCTGGCTTTCAACACAGACTTGTGGGCTGGGTGGCTGGGTGCCAGGGCCAGTAAGTGAGTAAGGAGAATGGAAGTTAAAGGAGGTATCAGAGTCACAACGTTGGAATTAAAATTAGGGTTCGCTCATTCCTATTTCAATTCCTTCTCTATTACACCACCTTGCCTCTCCCTAGAACTTCAGTCTCCAATTTGCTGAGTTGTCCGTGTGGGTGTGCTGTTGGTGAAAGGCCCTTTTCAGAGGGTCAGCCACAGTGAACTTCAGCTGATGTCCTAGCACAGCACTGCACGCATTACAAAAAGGATTGCTTTCGCTGGCAGCTCTCCCAGCCCTCACACGAGCTCTGTGCCAACAGCCATTGTCTCTGACAAGTGACTATGCTGGCAGCATAGGATCCCCTCAAACAGCCTTTCACACAGCCAGTCAGCATGCAGTTCTGCCCCTTGCTTTAGTTCACACCCTCCCAGGGCTAGAGTGTTTGTTTCACTCAGGAGAAGGTTTCAGCAGGCTTTGTGCCATGGTCACTGTCGTGGTTTCACAACAGCTTAAACGTTCCAACTACGGAACGTAAGAATGACCATGAACGCTAACATTCAGAATAGTTCTCTGAAAGAGCTGAGAAATGAGGAGGCACCAGAAAGGCCTGGAACTGTCACCCGGCACCACTTTAAAGGATGACTAAAGTGAACAGGTTTTTGTTGTTGTTGTTTTGCTGGCTGCTGAGATAAACATTAAAATCCATCCAAGTTGGTAGGATTTAAGGCAGTTCAGGTCCCCTTGTGGGCAGAAAACTGCTGGACAAGATTCTAAGCCTACTGTTTACAAGATGTGTTACTGCAGAGAAAATAATTATCTTCTTTGAACCTCAATTTTTTTTATTGGTGTATATTAGCAGTACAAAATAGTGGTTTCATGACAACATTTTCATAGGTGTGTGTGTGCATATTCCTTGATACTCTTCCCACTAACCACTTTTGCCTTTTCCATTTACTGGTCCCACTCTCTCTTAATAGTCTCTCTCTATGTCTCCCTCTCTCTGTTTCTATCAGTTCCTCTCTCTTCTTCTTCAGTGATACATATCAGAAAGCGTGCCACTTGTAGTTCTGATTCTGGCTTATTTCAGTTATCTTCAGTTTTATGGTTCTTTCTATCCATTTTCCTAAAAACAGCATGATTTCATTTTCCTTAATAACCCATCATATGTGTATATGATACATACACACACAGAGACAGACAGACAGACAGACAGACAGTATGGTGGAGGGGAAGGCATACATATGCTGCTTCCTTCATTCATCCATTTGTGAACAATTAAGCTGATTCCATAACTAGGCACCAACGAAAGACCCGAGAGAGAAGAGGAGAAGAGAGAGAAAGGGGGTCTTAGTGAACCAATGAATGACTGGCAATGAGCTGAACAAACAACTTCTTTTTAAGTAAGGAGATACAATAACCAATATGTACATGAGAAAATTTGTAGAATCCTTAGTCATCACAGAAACGGAAATCAAAATACCTTGAGAACCCATCTCACCCCAGTCAAAGTGGTGACCATCCAGAAACTAAAGACCATGAATAATAATGAGGGTTGAAGAGAAAGGAACCACTACATACTGCCGGTGGGAGAGCAAATTTGTGCATCCACGTTGAAATTGTTATGGAGATTCCTTGAAACCCCAAAGCCTGGAATTTCAGTATGATTCTGGATCTGTCCACTGCTGTGCATCTATTGCCCTCAGAATTGAGACACAAGGATGCTTGCGGGCTGCTCATGAAAACTTAGAAAGCAAAGAACGGATGAAAGTCACAAGACTGCAAGCACACAGGGGACCCAAGGCCAGCTAGTCACCTCCTTGAGAAGCCTGCCCTAATGATGATTCTTGAAAGCTGACCCTGGAGTTCCCTGACCAACTCATAGGCAGTTCTACCAGAGAATCCCGTTTCTTAGCTATTGTTTTCTGCTCATGTAAACTTGGGGAGGGGCCCTGGAAATCTTGTAACTTTCTGAGTCTTATAACTACAGTATCCCTCCCTTGTTCAAGCTTCCTTTAGCTAAGGAGGGTCTTTGTCCTTCTAGATAAGGCTCAGGATTCCTTATTCTCCCCCCTCCAACCCACCCCAGTGAAAATGTCGTTGGGATTTTGGCAGGGCTTACATGGAATCTATAGATAGATATGTTTACCAGTATAGCTATTTCTCAGTATTAATTCTGCCAACCCTAAGTGTAAAAGAACTGTCTAACTTCTAACATCCTTTTCATGAATGTTTTATAGCATTCATTATAGAAGTCTTTCACATCTTTGGTTAGGTTTATTTCTAAGTATTTAGGGGAGGGGAAGCTATTTCAAATGGATTATTTTCCTAGTATCTTTCTTTTTTCTCTTCTCCTTTTCTCTATTTTTTGAACAGGATCTCAAGTAGCATGAGGTGTGGTCTTGAACATCTGAACTTGGGGTTGCCTGAACTCTTGATCTTCCATCTTCCCTTCACCTGACATTCCCCATGCTGAGACTGTAGGTAGGTATATGTCACCACACTTGGCTCCTAATCTTTCTTTCTTTCTTTCTTTCTTTCTTTCTTTCTTTCTTTCTTTCTTTCTTTCTTTCTTCCATCTTCCCTTCACCTGTCATTCCCCATGCTGAGACTGTAGGTAGGTATATGTCACCACACTTGGCTCCTAATCTATCTTTCTTTCTTTCTTTCTTTCTTTCTTTCTTTCTTTCTTTCTTTCT